ACTAATGACGGTGCTGCTGTCTTTAACGTGACAGTTCCAGAACCTGGCTGGTTATTGCTCTTCCAGCCAGTGTGAGGGGAAAAACATGGAAGTCTAGGGCAGGGATTTCTTCTTAACCGAGTGAGGCAGAAGTTGAGCATACCACTTCTCACATTCCACAGGTGAGAGTGTAGACACGTGGCCTCCTAGCTGCAAGGGGAGTTGGGACATGCCCCAGCTGGGTGGATAGCTAGCCATCTCTGTCAGTCTGTCCTCTAGAACACTGAGGACTTGCCTGCTGTGGGAGCCGAGGAGGTTCTCTGGGGGTGTCCCCTTATTCTGTGTCTCCCTGACCTTGGCTTTGCCCTTCAACATTGGTTGTCTGTCATTCTCCACAGCAACCGACAGGGTGTTGAGAGTCTACCCTCCTCGGATGCGGATTGGGCTCGAGCAACCATGGGCTTTTGCAGTCCAGCCTTGCAATTTTGTTGGTGATAACAATTCCTTCAAAAACCTAGCAGGCTTCAGGTCTTTCGTCAGTTCCTTGAGCCATGACCACATTTGAAGTTCCTTTCTTGACAGTGTTATCAAGTCTATCTTCCACACCCTTCTCTTTCCCATTCCTTTGAAATGAAAGTGCTGGGGCGTGGTGTCTCATGCCTGTAATCCCAGACCTTTGGGAGGCTGAGGCAGGTGGATCACTTGAGGCCAGGAGTTTGAGACCAGCCTGGCCAACATGGTGAAACCCTGTCTCTACAAAAAATACAAAAATTAATCGGGCGTGGATTACAGGTACACGCCTGTAATACCAGCTGCTCCGGAGGCTGAGGTGGAAGAATTGCTTGAACCCAGGAGGTGGAGGTTGCAGTGAACCGAGATTGCACCACTGCACTCCAGCCTGTGTGACAGAGCAAGGCTCCATCTCAAAAATAAAAATACAAATACAAATAAAAAATAAAATAATAATAAATAAAATGAAGGTTATGCTAAGGACATCTTAAATAAGACTTGGATAACAAGGTAATACTGTTAATATAATACTTTGCCATGGGGGCGATTTCTTTGTTTGGTTTAAAGTTTGGCCTAAGAGATGGGCTTTGAGAGAGGCCCTGAGCCATGATAGTCTGACCTCCTGCTCTTTGGACAAAACCAGTGGCTTTTCCAACCCCAAGGACACCAGTTTTCTGAATTCTCTGTTTTTCTGTCTCTTCTTGCAAACTGGCCAATCTCTGTCTTATATGATTTTGCTAAAAGCAGCATCAAGCAGCCAACACATGCAAATGGCTTTGACCCTTTCCAACCATTTTTCTAGAATTATAGGCTCAATAGGCATGTGGGCTGCCTTCCAAATGATCACAGGTGACGTTTGCAATAAATGTTTTGTCCCAGCATAACAAGGTTCACCAGCTTCTCATCCTCTATTGTCTGTTTCCGTCTTGCTCCCCACCTATTGGCTAAGCCAGTGCCACATATTGGAGGGGTTTTGTATGTGGCAGTTTCCCACTCCTGGTATGAATTTCTATAAGGAGCTACAAAATACAGCGGTTTTACGATTATAGAAATTGGTTTTTCTCTCACGTAATGTAGTTCTGATGTGATCATTTCAGGCCTTGCTCAGGTGGGTGGTGGGTTTTGATAAGCAGTCAGCAGACTCCACAATGGCCCCCCCACCCTTCTCTTCCCCAACACATTCGCCTGTGTATCAATGGCACCACCATCACACACTTGCTCAAGCAAATACATAGAAGTCAATTTATTTTTCTTATTTTTTGAGACAGGATTTCACTCTGTCACTCAGGCTAGAAGGCAGTGGTGAAACCTTCGTTCACTGCAACGTCCACCTCCCAGGTTCAAGTGATTCTCATGCTTCAGCCTGAGACACTGGGATTACATGTGCACATCACCACACCTGGCTAATTTTTGTATTTTTTAGCAGAGACGGGTTTCACCACGTTGTCCAGGCTAGTCGTGAACTCCTCACCTTAAGCAATCCATTTGCCTTGTCCTCCCAAAGTGCTGGGATTACAGGCATGAGCCACCATGCCCAGCCAGAGGTCAACCTTGATCCCTCCCCAACCTGCAGTTCCCATCTAATCCATCAGCAAGTTCTCTCAATTCTATCTTCAGGGAAATCCCAAAAGTGACCATTTCCTACATCACCACTACCTCTACCCTAATCCAAGCTTTCAGTGTGTTGTGGGGTCATGTAATATTCTTCCAAGTGAGCTCCCTGCTTCTTTCCCAGCTTCTCCTCACACAACAGCCAGAGTATTATTATTATGATTATTTTATAGAGACTGGGTCTCACGATGTTACCCGGGCTGGTCTCCAACTCCTGGGCTCCAACTGTGGCTTCCCAAAGTGTCAGGATGGGTGTAAGCCACCGTGCCTAGGCTCCAGAATGGGTTTTGAAAAACATAAACAGGAGCATGCATTACAATGCCTTACTATTGCCCTTAGAATGAAATTCTATTTTTGTAACCTGCCGCTCAGGCCTCAAGTGACTGTCCCCCCTTCCAATTCCCTTCTCTCACTCTGCTTTAGCCAGCAAGCTTCTGTGCTGTTCCTCAAACATGCCAACCTTATTTTTGCCTTAGTATCTTTGCACTAAGACTCCCTCTGCCCAGACACTTTCTTCCCACCTTGTCACATGGCTGGTTCTGTCTTTGTCCATCTCAGGGCAAACCACTGTAGTGTAGTGGGTAAGAGTGAGGGCTCAGGAGCCATGCTGCTGGGGTTTGAATCTCCGCCCTGCAACTTCCTGCTGTGGGACCTTGGGGCAAGTTTTCTTAGCTTCTCTGTGCCTTGGTTTTTCTACCTGTACATGGCAATAAGAAATGTATGGTACTTGTTACCCAGGGTTGTTGGGAGGATTAAATAAAATAGCAAACACATTAAGCGAGTTTATGCATATGAAAAGTAAAAAGTTCGTTTTCAAAGTTTACCTTTTTGTTAAATAATAAATAATAAGTGTTAAAAATAATAGTTTCTTTTAAAAAGTAGCTTCCTTGCTTTTTGCTAATAACTTTTTGTTAAGCCCTATGTAGCTATTAAATATAGTAAGGGAATAAGTACATTCTATGTCCTTGTACTGTAACCAAGTTATTTGCTCTGACCTATAGCCTGCTCAGACATGTCCGAACATGCCCAGGAATTTCCTAGCTTATAGCCTTTGCCTCTTCCTTATTTGGAAATGTTATTATTCTCCTAGTTTCCTGTAAACAACCCCCTTCCTTTCTTTGTTCTCCATCATGCATCTATCTAGTTAGGAAAGTTTTTAGCCAATCAGGATCAGTCTAGATTGTGTGGTCCAGCTCCAGCCAATGGAGATGGGATGCAGCAGTAAGGACCCAATGCCTCAGGGATAAAAACTTCTGCTTTTCTTTGTTTGATGTGCTCTCGTGGTAGTCAGACTTCAGAGAAGCACCCTTTCTGCAGAAAGTAAAATTGCCTTGCTGAGAAAGAGAAAAGGTCTTTGTCTAAGCTCTGGTTCTTGTTTTTGACACCAAGGAATAAGCATTGGTGCCCAACAATGCATAAAAAGTGCACAGAGCATGGCCATACTAAGCCCTTAGTGTGTTATTATTGCCCTTCGGGTGGCAGCTTAAATATCCAGGCTCTGAGCAGCATTTCCTGGCCCCATGCTCTAAATGCATCTGCAGCTCATTTCCCTACCTTATTTCACCACAGCACATGTTCTTGTTCATGTATCATCTGTCTCTCCCCACAACATGCCACTCCCACTAGAATGCAACTTTCATGAGGGCAGGGACTGTACCTTTCTTGTTCACTTCCATGCCTTTCCTGAGAAGGAAAGTAAGTTCTCAGTAAATATTTGTTGAGTGGATACGGAAAGGTCAGAGGCCAAATCCCACCAACGCTTCCTTTTTGGGTGGCCCTGTGAGCCCTGCTGGTTGCCTGTCAGTGCCCTGCCTTTCAAGCCCCAGGTGGCCATGGTCAGGCTCACAGTTTCCTCTTGGGAGTTTCAGGGGCTGCCCTGTGGACCTGCTCTTGGAGACCTTGGGGGCACTGATGAGATTTAGCTCAGGGGTACTCACCCTCAGCAGGGGCTGTCAGAGCATAGACTCTGGAGTCCAGCCCATCTGTTTCTGTCAGCTACTAGCAGACCAGTTACTTATCCCCTTCTGTGCCTCCATTTTCCCCTATGTAAAAAATGAGAGAATACCAATTACCTTATAGGGCTACTGCTGTGAAGATGAAACAGGATATGTAAAACAGAGCTCATGGTTGGCTTGGAGTAAAGCTCTCCAGATGGTGACTATTATTATTATTGTTGTTGTTGTTAGTGCCATATCCAAAATACACTCTTTAGAGCATGAATGGGGGTGCCCGAGGGACTTGGGTGTGGGAGTGAGGAGGCGAACATAAAGAAGACATCTAGGGAAGGGAAGAACCGGAATGGAATAATCGAAGTGTGTTTGCATTCGTGAGTGCGAGCCGCGGTGTGTGTGGGGTGTGTGTGTGTGTGTGTGTGTGTGTGTGTGTCTGCCTGCGGAGGAGGGTGGCAAGGATCTAGAGAAGGAGCCCGCCCCTTCCTCCGAGCTCAGCTCTGGGGAGCCGGGCGCTCAGGCTCACCATGCTGCAAAGAGAGCTGGGAGCTGCCTTGCACCCCGCGCAGAACGGGTGGCAGAATAACCAGCGCCTCGAGTGTGTGCCTCTGGGACCAGGGGGCGGGGGAGCGGGACCTGCGCTCCACGGCCACCTCTGTTGGTGCAGACTTGGTGGTCCCAGAGGGGACAGCGTCCGCCCAGTCCCGGCGATCGAGGGTCCCTGCCCCGGCGCAGCTAGGGCCGGCCGCGTGCTCAGGGGCCGCGGCTTCTTCCGGAACCCCCGAGGGCGGGGCCTGCCTTCCGGAGCCGGGTTGGCGGGGGGGCGGAGGGCGGCGCCGGGGAAGGGGCAGTTACTTTCCCAGAGTGGCGGGGCGACGTCAGGCGGAAGGGCGCGGGGCGCGCACGCTTTAAATGGCATTCGCTGTCATCCGAGCTCACAGCAGTGTGGGCAGCCGCGGGCTATATAAGCAGCGAGTCGGGCCGCCGCGGGGCAGACGGCGACAGCAGCGGCGGCGAGCGCTTCGGAGCGCGGCGGAACAGCGCGCCGCAACAGCGCGCCGCGAGCCCCGCGCCCCCCGACGGGCCCGCCTGCCCGTCAGCCGTCCCGAGCAGCGCCGGCCCGGGCCCGCGAGGGCCGCCGCCACCCCGCAGCAGATTTGGATCCCCCGCCCGGCGAGCCCCCGGCTGCTGCCTCCCGGGGGGCCCCGGCGCAGCGGCCGCCCCCCGAGAGCCCCGGCGCCCCGCAGCCCGGCCCCGCAGACGCCGGAGGCGCCATGGCCTCCAAGCCCGGCGAGCTGATGGGCATCTGCTCCAGCTACCAGGCGGTGATGCCGCACTTCGTGTGCCTGGCCGACGAGTTCCCGCAGCCCGTGCGGCCCGCCAAGCTGTCTAAAGGCCGGGGCCGGCTGCGGCGGCCGCGCCAGTCTCGCTTCAAGACGCAGCCAGTGACCTTCGACGAGATCCAGGAGGTGGAGGAGGAGGGGGTGTCCCCCATGGAGGAGGAGAAGGCCAAGAAGTCGTTCCTGCAGAGCCTGGAGTGCCTGCGCCGCAGCACGCAGAGCCTGTCGCTGCAGCGGGAGCAGCTCAGCAGCTGCAAACTGAGGAACAGCCTGGACTCCAGCGACTCTGACTCGGCCCTGTGAAGGGTGCCGCCTGCAGGGGGAAAGCGCGCGTCCGCCGTCCGCGCGGGGACCGACGTGCGAATCCCGAGAGGGCCCGCATCCTGCCCTCGGGGGACCCCCAAGGACCGGGGACTGCCGCCCCTTGCGCGCTCGGACTTCCGCCCCGCTGCGAACTGGTCGGTGCGCCCCTAGCCGCGCTCGCCCTTGCCCGGGGGCGCCGGGAGCGGGGCCGCTTTCCTTGCCCTTGTAAATGTTTATTTTTTAACTCTTCCCAGTGCGAACTCTGCTGTGAGTGTGTGCGGGAAGGCGCGCCCGCGCTGAGTCGGCCGCGGGTTGCCCGAGTCGCCGCTCCACGCCCTTGTCCGAAGGTTTGCAACTCCGATTTTGCACACCGCTCCACCCTGCCCCCCAGCGCACACGCGTTCACACTCACGCCAACACTCTCGCTGAACACTTTTATAATGTTAGGTGCGGCCGTTGGGACTTGGGGCGCAGCGCAGCTGCTGCTGCTGCGGCCGGAGGATTGATATTTATTTTTGCATTGCGATGGCTGAAGGCGTTTATTTAACGATCTTTTTACCTGGATATGTCTGTGAGGCTCCTGAACGGAGACAAATAAAGTCAATATATTTGCACAGTGCATTTCTTCAGGCTCTTGACTTTTTGAACCTTCGGGGCCGAGGCTCCCAGACTCGGGGAAGTCGGGGAGGGGGTGGCAGGGGGATGCCGGGCAAGGGAGCCGGGTGTGGAGCGACCTCCACAAGCTTCGGTCGAACGAGGTCGCGCCCCCGGTGCGCGGATCGGTTGCCTGCCTCCCCAAGAGAATCCACCCCGGATCCAGAGCGCTCCTGCCTCCCTGGTCTGTTCCCCATCGCCAGCATCCGGGTTGGAGTGAAGCCGCAGGCGGGGCGGAGGCGGCGCTGAGGATGGGGAGCTGTCTCCTCCGTTCAGTTGACTCCCCCAGGCTGGGGTCAGGGTCCTTACCCCGCATCCGCCGCAGAAGACGCACCACCCTCTGCGCTCACTCCTGGCGGCGGATGGGGAGATGCCGGAGCCAACAATGCGAGATGTCTGGGCGTTGGGACTCGAGAGAGGGCCGGGGGTCAGGTTGGGCTGGTCGAGACTGTGGGTGCGCGCTCGCTGTCGCGGGCAGGTGACCCCCTGACCGCAGCTGACTCAGCGCAGTGCCTGGCTCTCCCGCGCTGCGGGGGAAACCGCGGCCGCTACGTCTCCAGCCCTTCTCCTCTGCGCCCCGCAGGGTTCCTCCAGGAGGGTGAGGCATGTCTTTGGTTAGAGCCTGAAGGGCAACTGGGTACCACGGAGTCCTTCCCTTCTCCTCGCCCCTGCCTTTGTTTACAGATGAGAAAACAAGCCCAGGGTCACAGGGAGAGGAGCGCCCCCAGTCCTCGGGACTCCGGGTGCAGGACTCCTTGCACCGCAGGAGTTTTTCTTTCCAGTGCTCTTCAGCCACTGCCCGAATCCCTGTCTACCTCCTAAATCCTCTGAATTAGCAGTGTGGCCGGGCCACCTGGCCGCAGATGGCCACCAGGGTAACAAGCTACGTTTGGTTGAACAGGGCAGGTCCCCACTCTGAGGCCCTCTCTCAGCCCCTTCCTCCAGGATTACTCCAGGGCTGATCCGCCCTGAGGGGTTTAGGGCTTCTGCTCTTGTTGCAGCGTCTCTGTGCTCTGGCGCCCTCTGGTGGCGGGGCTGGTGTGTGTGTTTGGGGTGGGCAGGAATCTCCTTAGGAGATACCCATTCTCTTAGCTGCAGGCTTAGCTCTGGAGAAGAGGACAGCAGAGGAAATGACACAAAGAAACAAAAATAGAACCACAGGGCCCGAGGGGATTTCTTCTCTCGGCTCAGAGAGAGCACAGGCCATGGTCTTGGTGGCTGTGGTATTTGGCACGTGTCCCAGCCCCTGAGAACACACTGGCCGTGGCAGTCCCAATGACGAGTTCCATTGTGGTGGGGTGTCATGGCAGGAGACCCTTCCTTGCCTGCAAATGTCTCAGAGATGTGAAGCCACGGTGCGTCTATGCTGTATTCCAGCCAGCGCAGCTGCCACCCCTGGACTAGTTTGAGCTCGCCTGGGTGGAAGGAACCTCCTCTGAGCCCAGCCTCATTCTCCTCTCTCCAAAGTGACTCCCTGAGGGCAGAGGGGAGGACCCCACATCCCACGCCCCCTCTTGTCTTACCTTTTCAGCAGCAGCTCCTCTTCAGGAGTTAGATGCCCCAAGTGTCTGGAAGACCTCCTAGTGGGCTTCTAGACCCTCAGGCCTGAGATCCTCCCCTCTGCGCAGCCTTCTCCCACGGAAGAACCTCCTTTTCAGCCAGGCAGTGGCTCACGCCTGTAATCCTAGTACTTTGGGAGGCCGAGGCAGGCAGATTGCTTGAGCCCAGGAGTTTGAGACCAGCCTGGGCAACATGGTGAAATCCTCTCTCTACAAAAAATACAAAAAATTAGCTGGGCATGGTGGTGCACACCTGTGATCCTTGCTATTCAGGAGGCCGAGGGGAGAATCACCTGAGCCCAGGGAGGTGGAGGTTGCAGTGAGCAATGATTGTGCGACTGCACTCCAGTGTGGGCGGCAGAGCGAGACCCTGTCTCAGAAAACAAAAACAACACACAAACAAAAAGAACCTCCTCTAGTTGCCTTCAGCCCCTACCCGAAGGGTCTTCTTGGGCTACCCCAGCCAACAACAGAGGTTACCGTGGGGACCATATCCCATCACTTTGATTCCCTGCTGAGCTGTGGGCAGCCCCAGCACTGAGTAGGTGCTTCTGAAATGTTAGGGTTGAAATGAATAAAGAGCTGGTGAGGAAGGTCCATTCTCGTCTTGCCTATTTCCAGGTTTTTTTTTGTTTGTTTGTTTTGAAATGAAGTCTCACTTTGTCACTCAGCCTGGAGTGCAGAGACACGATCTCAGCTCATGGCAACCTCTGCCTCCTGGGTTCAAGTGATGCCCCTGCCCCAGCCTCCCAAGTAGCTGAGATCACAGGCACGTGCCACCACACTCGGCTAATTTTTGTAGTTGCAGTAGAGATCGGTTTTCCCATGCTGGCCAGGCCGCTCTGGAACACCTGACCTCAAGTGATCTGCCTGCCTCAGCCTCCCAAAGTGTTGTGATTACAGGCGTGAGCCACCACACCCAGCCCTGGTTTGTTTTTTAAGTTAGCCTCTAATTTTTCATTGCCTTAGAAATACTTGTTTGTTATAATACAAAACAAGCCACTCTGACTCCTGCCAGCCAGAGATAAACAAGTTAACGCTGAGGACGTGATGCCTGTATATGCATGTTTATTTTCTTTTACAAAATGAGTTTATATTCTATATGCTATTTTTCAACCTGCTTTTTTAATTAATTGGATTTGCGTTTAATATCAGTATGCATCGATCTACATCATAGCTTTTCATAGTTCTATTGAATAGAATATTCCACATTTAATTTAGTGAATGTGCCACTATTTAGTATAAAAGTGATGTCTTATTTGTCCCAGTTCCTTAGTTTTACCAGAAACTGGCGGTGCTAAGGGTTGATATGGAAAGAAATCTGATAGAAGCCGTGACCCAGAGAGGCAGGGGGCGGGAGTGTGGGATGCTGCAGTATCAGGGGCCTGGAAGGTCATGGCCCCTGGGCCACGTGGGGATTTCTCTCCAGTTCTGAACATCTTTGTCTTGCACAAAGGAAGATGGGCAGACTGGAGGGTAGGGAGCTTGTGTTGGTCCGTTCTGTATTGTTATAAGGGAAGACCTGAGGTGGGTAATTTGTAAAGGAAAGAGGTTTATTTGGCTCACAGTTCTGCAGGCTGTACAAACATGGCACCAGCATGTTGTTGTGGTGAGGCCTCGAGAAGCTTCCACTCATGATGGCAGGTGGAAGGGGAGCAGGCATGTCACACGGGAAGAGAGGGAACAAGAGGGAGGCCAGGGCTTTTTAAGCAACCAGCTCTCCTGTGAACCAACAGAGTGAGAACTCACATATCACCGTGGGAAGGGCACCAAGCCCTTCATGAGGGATCCACCCTTATGACCCAAACACTTCCGACCAGGCCCCGCCTCCAATATTGGGGTCACATTTCAACATGAGATTCGTAGGGAATCAACATCCACACCATATCAGAGCTCTTACCAGGCGCCTCTGGAACTGCAGGGGCTCAGCTCCTCCCTGTGCTCACAGGGACTCCAAGGTGGCACAGAGCTCCAAGGAGAGACAGGCTGGGGCCGGCTGGGCTGGGCTGGGCTGGGCCAAGCCAAATAGAAGAAGAGGGAAGAGTGGGCGAGACATACAATGAAGGAGCAAGAGAGAGCAAGAGTCAGAGAGGTGGAGAGGAATGAGGTCCCTCAGGGAGACAGGGAAACTCAGCAGCACAGAGAGAAGGTAATGGAAAGAGAAAGAGATACAGGGAAATAGGATCAGGAGCCAGAGGATGTCAGATGTGGAGAGAAAGAAGAATAAAGGCCACCCTCGGAGATGGAGAGACACTGAGACAGCAAGAGAGAGAGAGAGGAGGGAAGGGGAATAGGGAGAAGTGCCCCTGGATACTGGGGATCAGAGGAGAGAGAAGACAGGAGCCAGGGCGTCTGAGGAGCTGCGGAGCAGGCATGGGCCTGGGTGGGTGGACGTCTGCCCAGCCGGCTGGATTTATAAGCCTGTCCAAGGTGACGCCTGTGTCCTTCCCTCCCTGCCTGGGCCTCAGCCTGCAGTCCGAGCCTGGGTGATGAGTTTTCAAACAGGCTGGAGCCCAGACCAGGCAGCGGTAACAAGTGGCCATCCCAGATCTGGCCGACAGCCAGCTAAACATTTCTTTCTGGCCCTGGGGGAGATGTTTCGCAGAGTTCCTTTTGCTGATTTAAAACTAGCTTGACTTTTGCAGCTCGCTGTGTGCCAGGGCCCCCAAGGGAAGGGCTGTCCATGATCCCAGGGAACTGAGGTCAGCTGTGGACTTGGGAGTCCTTCCTCCTGAAGCACATTTGGGGTAGGTCTTAGGCCTTTTGGCCGCTGGAAAAATAGCAGAGGGGATAAAGGCCACCATTCACTGAGCACCTCCGGTCAGCAATCTACTTTCATCCTCGTCAAGTTTCTCAGCCTTTTTACAGGTGAGAAAACTGAGGCTCAGAGGGGTTAAGTTTCTTGACCAATGCTACACAGGTAGTCAGGGGTGAGCTAGGTTGCAAACTCAACCTAGCTTTATTTATTTATTTATTTGAGACAGGGTCTCCCTCTGTCACCCAGGCTGGAGCGCAGTGAAGCAATCTTGGCTTACCACAACCTCCGCTTCCCAGGCTCAAGTGATCCTCCCACCTCAGCCTCCCAAGTAGCTAGGACTATAGGCATGGACCACCATAGTAGACTATTTTTCTAATTTTTTGTAGAGATGGGGTCTCCCTAAATGGCCCAGGCTAGTCTTGAACACCTGAGCTCGAGCAGCCCTCTCACGTCAGCCTCCCGAAGTGCTGAGATTATAGGTGTGAGCTCCTTCTCACTGTAACCAGCTGTGGCACAGCCATGAGACCGGCCTTGGCAGCTCTCCTGCTACAGGGAGTGTAACTGACCAGCAGGCACTCTGGATTTGAATCCATTGCCTTCTTTGGCTGAGGCTGAACCTGTCTAGGGGCTGCTCCCTCCCAACCTGTG